TAGACAGGAGGCAAGTAGTAGAGTCGGGATTAAGCCAGGGTCAGGAGCCAGAGTCTGGGGTTCACAGCAAGGCAAGATCTGAGTGGAAACAATGAGGAAACAATGCAAGGTTACTCAGACAGCTCCCTGTGACTGCTTTCTGGTATATATACCAACACTGGCCAATCAGTGGACTTTTGGGGCAGCCACTCAGGACCCACTGGACAGTACTTCCTGCAGTGTCTAGATTCACAGGATTCTCCAGCAGAAACCCGGCCTGAGCTTCTAGTGGCAATGTTGAAATGTTGGTGATCTGGAACCCCAAGGTGCCAGGTTCTAGTCTTGCAGGTTCTAGAAAGTTGGAGGGGCAACAGGTAAAGTTTATCAGGCAGTGTCATATTCACGGACTCCTGCTGTGATCTGCCTCTGATCAGCCAGTGATCCAGGCAGGGAGAGACATGAAAGCCTTACATTCTCAGGTGGGACAGGGCTGTGGAGAGCCCGAGCAACTTTATCTTGTACAGGTAATGATATAGTCCCACTTTGAACTTTGAGTACTTCCTGCAGGCTGGGTGGATAGATATATGGAGGTACACACCTTGCAATTTGAAAGCCACAAACCATGCTTGAGCCTGAAGAAATGGAACAACAGAGGCAAGAGATACCATCCTGAATCTGAGGTGGTGTGTATAGCTGTTCAGTCTCTTCAGATTTAAAATAGGATGAAGACCCTTCTTCCTTGGGATAATGAAATATCATGGCTAGAATCCCCTTTCCCTGTAATCTTGAGGATCCTCTATGGGTCTTAGGCATATCTACACTACTAGCTGTGTCGATCTCAGCAATGCCGATTTAGCAGCGTAGGTTTAGTGCGTCTGGTGAAGACATGATAAATCAGTGGGAGAGCACTCTCCCATCCATTTGTGTACTCAATCTCCCCGAGAAACAAAAAGGAAGTCGGTGGGAGAGCATCTCCCGTCAACACAGCGCAGTGTAGACACTGCGGTGAATGGATCTAGCTACGTAACTGAAGTAATGTAACCTAGATCAATTTACCATGGTAGTATAGACCAACCCTTCAGTGAAGGAACGAGGTCATTTCTCTTTGTAATACGCTTTTGTATGAAAGATCCCTGGAGAGGGACAGGGAAGGAGAGTGGGTGGGCAGAAAGTGTGAAAATAAATGGCCTAGCCAAGGGCTACTACATCCAAGATGAAGACTGTCTCCTGATCTGTTCCTATGTGGCTCCTGACATTCCCATCAAATCTACTGTTTGGATGATGGGACAGACCGTGTGACAGAGGAGGCAGATGACTGGAGTCTCCTTGAGTATCACAATCATTTCCATGATAGGTACTCTGGCTGTCTGCCCTGAGAATATGGGTAAGCCTACTGTGCTGAGTAGGCCCCCTGAATCCTTCAAGGAACACAGTGCTTCCTGAGTTCTTTTGTTGAAGAGTTTCATACCACTGAAAGAGAGGTCTTGTATGTTGTCCTCAACTTCCCCATGGCAGATGCTAACAGCCTCATGATTACAGCCATGGTCATCAACCTTAAGGAGGGATCCAAGGCTGCCTTTAGGGCTGTACTAGTAAACATCTGGCCTTCTTTGAGATCTATATATGCTCCAGAGCCTGCAGTACTTTCACCAGGAAGGGAACCAACCCTTTCCCAAGTCAGGAAATCGTATCTGGTGAGAGTCCGGTAGTTTGCCACATGGAGTTACACTAAAGTGGATGAGTAGGCTTTGTACTTGAATATCCTTGTTCTTGGGTGTGCCTTTTGTTCATTTGATTTTTCCTGAACTACTGCAACTACCAATGATACTGGGTTTTGATGGGAGTAAAAGTATTTGAATTTTTAGAGGCACCTGATAGTCCCACAGTTCACCTGTTCTGACATGGACTGGATGGTAGCCAGGGTTTGCCAGAGACCCTTGGCTGGCTATCGCACGCCCTCATTTATGGGGAGAACAATTCTTGCCAGATCTGATGCGGTCAAAATGTCAAAGAGTTGACAGGATTTCTCTTGTATGACTGTCATTTTGATATCCAGAGTCTCCACCAAAGGAGCTTGCAGATGCTGAAAAGCTTTAAAGTCATCAACTGTCAAGGCAGGAGCTGGTATGACTGCCTCATCAGGTGAGGATGACTATCCTTTGGGAAGAGATTGAGGGTTCTGGTATTGTACAGCTCCTCGGTAAGGTTCTAGTACCTGTGGTCTGGGCAGTGATGAATCCAATTCCTCCTCTTCCTAAACCTACTGGGGAGGGGGGAGGAAGAGGAAGATATTCTGAGAAGATGGTCCCAATAGGGCCAGTAAGGCTAAGGTGGCATGGGATAAGGGTACTGGCCAATTCATAGCTGGTTAGCCCAACGCCACCCATGTCTCTTTTGTGGTGTTGTGCCCAGCAAGATGGATCTCTGGTAGCAGCTCTAGGTTTACTCTCAGGAAGTAGAGAAGAGGCATTGCTGCTCAACATGAAGGAGAAATCTGGGAATGGAGAAGAAGAGAAATACTCTTCAAATGGGAGTGCCATGGGGTAATGTCTCAACGCTGGTGCTATGTTGGCACTAATGATGTCCCCAGAGAGGATCCTGACTGCTCTGTAAGGACAGGTCTTAGTCCTGAAATCGAAGCAGGTGCCAAGTTTACTCTGTGCTACTCCCTTAGCAGAGGACTTAGATGTTGTCCACGGAGGACTGATGTCTCATCACATCTCCCTGAGCAATACTTCTCAGTGTTTGATCTCCACTTGGCCCTGCCTTTTGGTCATGCTCTTGTGTTGGTGAGCTGTTGTGAGGTAATGGTGCCAAGCATGTTGCTACAAGTGCCAAAACAGTTGTTGGTTCTGGTGTAGCAGCAGCTGGTGCCAAAGGTTTCAACAGGTGTCCATTTTCATGGGTTTTTTCTTTTGCTGCTGGCTTCCTTGGACGGCACCCACTGAAGATGTCTTCTTTGGAGAAGAATGTCTTGTCTGGATCTGAGGTGATGCTCATTAATTGGTTGAGTAGGTGTAGTTTCAGCCATGCGTTCTTCTACTTTTGAGTCCTTGAGAAGGACAGGCACACTAAATACTAATCAGTGATGGGACTCTCCTTGAGACAGGAAAGGCAGCTGTTATGCTCATCAACCAAGGCAATGAGTCCATTGCAGGTTGGGCAGGATTTAAACCCTGTGAGTTTAGAGTTTGCCATGGCGGTTGGCATGAGGCATCTTGCCGCACTGTACAGGAGGGGATGTAGGTCTGTTCTTTTTGTTTTGTTTTTAGGAACGTTCAAATTATAAAAGAAATTAAGATGAGAGTGAAGATAGACTTCTTCATACAAATAGACAAGATGATTAGTTTGAAGATCACCAAAAAAAAAAAAGCGGGTTGACAGGGTTCTGTCTTGCTGCAATGGGTGGTAAGAGGGAAGTGATGGAGGGCTGGAGCAACTCTGCCCTTTATACCCTTGCAGGGAACATGAGACAGCACATGGTGCATGTGCAGCCTGGATGGACATGGCTATTAAAAAAAAATCATCTAACCTCACATGCACGGGGCACGTGCAACCTACATGGACACATACTCATGGAAAGAGAAGATCTATGAAGTAAGCTGCTTTAAGTGCATGGAGACTTTTAAAAAAACCTGAGGGCAATTCTAGAGTTGGATCCTAAAACGAATGAGGAGCTACTGGGATTTGTGAATGGGGTGATGTTATGTGTTTTTGTATACGGGAGAAAACAGGCAGGAGCTTTCTACTGGAAAGCTGGGATATCTGCAATATAGAGTGGGTAAAAAGCAAAGACCAAGGTCTTCAGAGGTGAAGTTGAGTGAAATCGTCACTGTAGTGATGACTAGGGCCCTACCAAATTCACGACCATGAAAAACTTGTCATGGATCGTGAAATTTGATCTTTTGTGTGCTTTTACCCTATATTATACAGATTTCACAGGTGAGACCAGCATTTCTCAAATTGGGGGTCCTGACCCAAAAGTAAGTTTCGGGGGGGGGGTTGCAAGGTTATTTTAGGGGGCGGGGGGCCACTTTATTGCCACCCCTACTTCTGTGCTGCCTTCAGAGCTGGGCCGCCAGAGATCGGTGGCTGCTGGCCGGGCGACCAGCTCTGAAGGCAGTGCCCCACCAGCAGCAGTGCAGAAGTAAGGGTGGCAATATCATATCATGCCAGCCTTACTTCTGTGCTGCTGCTGGCAGCACGTCTGCCTTCAGAGCTGGGGTCCTGGCCAGAAGCCGTTGCTTTCCAGGTCCCCAGGTCTGAGGGCAGCGCCGCCACCAGCAGCAGCATAGAAGGAAGGGTAGCAGTACCGCAACACCCCCAACAATAACCTTGCAACCTCATCCCCAACTCCTTTTTGTGTCAGGACCCCTAGAATTACAACATCATGAAATTTCAGATTTAAGTAGCTGAAATTATTAAATCTATAATTTTTTAGTTCCTATGACCATGAAATTGACCAAAATGGACCATGAATTTGGTAGGTGATGACACATGGATTTACAAAGAGGTATCAGAACAAAGATACATCAGAGTCACTGATAAAACAAAGGTTACAGGCATCACAGAAAAATGGGATGGAGGACTGGTATATTGAATTAGTCAAAGATGTAAGTTTTGAATGATTAATTTATAAACCACAAACTTAACAGAGTACAATGTAGTTGTGGGCATTTCTCTGAGTGCATTAGTGATACAAATGTCAATCTTATCTATGCAAGACAACTTGTTTAAAACATTAAAAATAGTTTCTTAGCTGTATATTCTTCACTACTCCACACAAGAATGAAAAAGTGAAATGGACTCTGATTTATTTTCTTTATCTTCGTCATGTATTATAATTATAATAGGTAATTGTATAGGGGATTTAAAATGTATATTTGTATATGTGTTTCTTAATTGTAAGAATGTGTGAATGTGGATTTTTAATATACTTCAAGAATAAAAATATGCTGAAATGTAGTTTTACCATTTTGGCATTCAGGAGAGCAGTAAAGAAAATCTAAGACTTGGCTTACCAACAAAGGTAGTCCTGATCCACTGCCAGAACTCTGTGACTGGTCAATAAGATCCTTTAATGACTCCCCAGCTGGAATAAATGCTTCATCTTGCTCCAGATCACGATTATAACAACGTCTCTTTGCTACCCATCTACAGTAATGTCTGCAAAAGAAAAAAAACTACACATTAATACTTTTAAATATAACGTTACAGTTTATTAAACATTTTGACCGATAAAAAGAAAAAAGCTAAATGCATGTTTTTAAAAACAAGCAATATTTATTACATGGTCATGTCATTTTTAGATGACAGATTGAAGAATATTTAAATTGTGTACAAAAGACACTTGAGACTCATGTAGACATACTGATTTACAATTTATCAAGTGGTCATATAACATTTTCAAGCCAACATTTCCATCTGGGCTATATCAACTTCAGTTAGAGCAAATTAGGACTTTCTATCAATATTTTGCAGTATTTTTGCCAATAGGATTACAGAATACAGGTGAACTCAGTTCATCTGAGTAATGGTTGAGATATCTTTTGGTCAGTGATGTCCGAGCTGAGATCTGCAAATGACTGTTTTGTAATAACTGTTTAAAAATACCTATCACTTTTCTCCTATTTTTCTTTTTTTCTTTACAACAAAACAAATATAATAAAAATTGCAAACAGGAAAGCAGAGATTTATTTTATATGCAATTATAATGAAGCCATAAGTTTTTATATTAAACTGCTCTGCTATGTCAATGCCTTCAATTATGACAACTTGGCTAATGAACTAAACTCCAGCTGGCACACAATAAATATTGTTCCTGGAAGCACGCACATTGAATATGAGGATTACAGTCTGTTCTTGTTCTGTTCTATTCTGCTCTTTGCTGCTTCCACTCCTAGAACTCATAATTGAAAGGAAAGTGTCCTAAGTACTTAAGATTTTGTCTATTTCGCTAACTTCCAAATAGGCAAAACAACAGAGAAACTGAGTGAAGCGACTTGCAACCCAGACTCCATTAGGTCCTATTACCACAGTATTATTAAAATCCCTAATTTATCCACAAGAGAATTTCTAGGCCAACAGCACAGAGGAAACACTATAAGCTCTAATTTTTATTCAGGTTCCAAGATCACATCCACCATTGTGGTGCTAGAGCACATCCTGAGCAACTTCTCTAGAGAAAAACAGGCAGGGTGAAATCTACTTTAAAAATTCATGTACAAACAGCTTTGTAAAGTTAAAGTTAACCATTACTGCCCCACAACCAGACTTTCCACTCCTTACATGCTCTCGGAACATAGGGCTTCAAAATCCAAAATAACAGTCAGAAAAACAGAAAATGCTCAGTTAAGATCTCCCCACACTTTCCTCCCCTCCCCCACAATCCTTCAAAATGTTTGTGTTCTGGGGGGAAAAAACTGGGAAATGCACAGTTAAAATGCAGCTTTACACACATAATGCATCCAGCCAACTTAACTTTCCCTTTGTACTTCTGGTACGAGCACTGCACCATCCAATACATGCATCAACAGATCGTATGTATTGCCTTCAAATATCATACGTACAACTTCACAAATCGTATTCCATCATGCTACACTATTTGCCAAAGAGCAGCAGAAAAACCTACCCCACATAATTTTGAGCACTGAGTGGTGCAGGACTCCTAACAGCTTCTTTCAATATACACATTTATAGGTCATATTTTGCATGGAATTTTATAGAAACAATATAATTTGATAAGTTTGTGAAGTCCTGTGGGACTCCAGATGACAAAGAATACCATAAATATAAGACATGTTTTCTTCTGGTTGTGGCTGTTCTATGAAAACTTAGTCATTTTACCATCACTCATACCTACTCTTTACTCTCAATAAGATTTCATACTCCCATCCAGATTTGACAGAAACCTAATACCAAATATCCATGAAAATATTAACAAAACCTTCCTGCACCAGCTCAATGTATGATATGTGTGAGATATAAATACTGGAATGTTTCCACTACATTATTGTTTTAAATGTATGGTTTAGAGTTAAAGAATATTAGGGTCAACCATGCATCCCTGGGCAGTGTGAAAACAGAGAATAACAAGTGACAAAAATGCAGAACGTTTTGTGTTCAGTTCAGACTATGCAGGACAAATATAGCTCCTATTTTTTAAAAAAAGCAGAATAACTGTAGAAAGTTATTTCTGTGGCTTATTTGAAGCTTTAATATGTTCCTAGGACAGAATAATGCAGGAGATAAAACTCAGAAGTAGCACACAAATAAAAATAGCAGTGGCCTAATATCCAACTGTGCAAAAGCGTTAACATATTCTTGTTTATGGAATTTTATAGTGCCAAAATCATACCTTGTTCTGAAAACCTGTACAGTTTTCACACACTGCTGGAATAAGACATGAAATTCTATGAAATTCCATACAACATGTTAATGTCCACATTTTTACCTAACACTATAAACCACTGTCCATAGAGATGTAAAGTTACATTTAACTAGTTTCCTCTTGGAGCTATTTAAAAATCTCTCTCTCTCTCTCTCTCTCAACACATCTCTAGAATAAGTCATTTTGTATATCATCATACAGGAAAAAATACTAGTGCAGAAGGAAGTACTTCTCCTTACTTGTAACAAAAGCAGCTAAATAAGATGATCATAACAATGATGCAGACTGCCATAGAAATCAGCACTGCCATCCAACGAACGCTCCCATCAAAAAGTCCATCTGTTTAAAAAAATAAAACAGTTACAATACTTATTTCCTAAAAAGTTGCCAGTAATCAGATTCTAGTATAAATAAAATATTATATTTATCAGTCACTTTCTCATAGATTATGTATTTTGTAACTGCCAATTTTGTAAACCTCTTCCCCATAAAATATTATTTTTCATTTGGAGCTACAGCTACACTCAGCAATATCAGGGATCCTTCCAAAAGGGGCAGCAGGGGTAAAGAATTGCAAAGCATCAGATTTTATTCTCTGGAGCAACACTGACAATACTGAGGGTTTGCCACACATTTTTTATACATACTTATATAAAGTTCCTTGCTATCTTAATATTGCCTACAATGCCGGTGGTAACTCACTCCAATGCTCCTGAAGGCTTTCATTTCCAACAGATACCAAAAGTATCATAGAATACCAGGGTTGGAAGGGACCTCAGGAGGTCATCTAGTCCAACCCCCTGCTCAAAGCAGGACCAATCCCCAGTTTTTGCCCCAGATCCCAAAGGGCCCCCTCAAGGATTGAACTCACAACTCTGGGTTTAGCAGGCCAATGCTCAAATCACTGAGCTATCCCTCCCCCCTTATATATACTCCAGCTTAAAAACACACTCATACCAACGCAAAACCTCACTGGTAACTTCACGTATTCTTCTATCAACAACTTTGCACATCTGACTGTCCAACATCCCATGCAATGGGTAAATTACTCTTCCTTAGCACTGCTGAACTTGCTGTAAAGGATTTCATGTACTGTTAGAGTAGGCAAATTTCAGAGGAGACATGAGACTAAAGTACTTCTATCTATCTTCAGTGGTTGTCGAGATAGAATTTGAAGTTCTTGTGGCACTTCTTATAAACAGTGGAAGGTAATTCCAGAATCTCGCCAATATATCCAGTCTCTCCTGTGAGACTGGCTGACTCACAAAATTGACAATGGGATATAGAGACTTCCATCTCTAGGTTATTTATTTAAATCTAGTCCCGATTGATAGCTATCAAATGTTCCCACCTGATGGCTGTTGGGTGGTCTACATATCACAGCTTGGTAGTCTCAGAACAAGTCCTAGTAGTACCATGCCCATACCTCAAGAGCACCCGTCACAATCCTTCAGGGCTATCTTATTAGAGAAACCAATATTTAACTGAAATTTAACTACATTCACATCTGTCTAGTTCAGTTTCCTTTCCCCTGACAGCATAGTGGGCAAAACTTCCAGTTGCTGTCTGTGAATAAACACAAGAATACAGTTTCCAGAAATGTCTAATCTGGTACCTTTAATAACTATAAATTCACTAAAATAGAAAATGTAAACAGGATCTAATGTCTAAGGTGAAATGCGAGAGATCAGAAACTTTACAGATCATATGATCTTCATGGGACTCTAAGACTCACCTGTTTTTCCAAGCTATTTCAAATGAAAGTAAGGGAGTTAAATAAAGCTGGAGACAAGGGAAAGGCAGGAATGTGATATATTTTAAAGGACTGTGAGGTCCATTTACAATCATAGTCTTGTTGACTTTTTTAATATATATAATTCCTTTTCTGTTCCTGTAGCACAGGCTATGTGCTTTTATAAAGGTGGATACGTAAACCAAAAATAATTGCTGTTCCATTTAGTAACACACTACTTCACTAGCTAGATTTTGTAGGTTCTCCCCTTTCTCCCTCAGGAGAGTGAAAATTCCAGGGGAAAAATGGGTCAGAAATGCTTCCTACAGAAGGGATCGGAGCACACTCCACTGTCACTGCAGGGCCCTATGTTCCACCTGAATCCCCATGCTATTGCTGATCATATGGCAGAAAAGACCGGAGCTGAGGGGTTTTTTGGAAGGAAAGTTTTTCTTTGTCAAAATCTAAAAGTACAAAACAAAACAAAAACATAGCAGCCAGCTAAGGTACAGAGATATCTGTGAAGTGGCAATGAGTTTGAGCCACAAATGAGGCTCCTTGTATAAAGGCACTATTATACAAAGTTTAGGATAGTTATTAAATATTGAAATAAGTAAAAGTTGGGGTTCCAGAGGTCGATGAAAGCTGAGAGAACTAGGAGGTGAACACAGTTGCAAAGGCAGACAATCCAAAAACAAAGTGATTATGGAGTAAGAGACCTTTTGATGAATCCTGTCAATTTTGGCTTCAAAAAATTAGGAAGACCTAGGGAGGTAAGAGTTTGAGCAAAGGGTCTAAGATGGAAAGGAATTTCTGGCACTGAAAAAATGAACAAAGATATAATAGTTGTTAGGAGCAGAGCAGGAGAAAGAAAATTTACAGTAGGGACAGTTGGATGTGGTCCTGAGACTTCTTTCAGAGACAGTCAGCACAGCAAAAGTAGCAGCGGAAGTTATGGAAAAAGCTAGGCTGCAGACTGATGACACGATAAAACAATGCACCAGGGAAGCAAAGTGTGGAACAAAAGGACAGTGACCACATAGTCAGAGTAAGGCACGCAGGTATGAGGAGGCAGCAGATGCTCTGAAAATTCTGGAATAGGTATGAATGAAAGAGAATGAGACATAGAAAAGAGGTAATGCAGAAGTCGCTAAAATTAAAATGATGATTACTGGGCAGAGGAACATCTTAAATGGAGAAGTTTGAAAGAAGAAAATGCAGTGTGAAGGTCAGGTCAAGGGGAAGATGGAGGTGGCAAGTGTAGGATTTAGCACAGGCCTTCAGACCAAAGGACGTAATGAGAAAAGAAACAGAGGCAAGGGCAATACTCCAGTCCTACACTTTCTCCTAATATTACATCAATTCGTCAAGAAGAATAAACCCATTCCAGATTAGTCTGTATAAACTGATAAAACAGCAGTTTACCTGTACTACCAAGTGGGGGTAGTGTGGGCTGTAGATCCCGATTGCAGAAATCAGTTCGACAGCATTCAATTGTCCGACGTAGCTGTGCTTTTGGGGAATCCTATAAATGGAGAACAAGAGAAAATAACTCAAAAGTTTTGAAATGGCCAAACAAGAATGATATTATAGATGGTATAGATGTACAGTACTGTGGAGATTACATAGTTAAGATTGAGTTCTGTTTTGAACATAAAACAGGGATTCAATCCTCTTGGTCAGGGGTCTCAAACTCAATTTACTTTAGGGCCAGTGCCAGTCCTCAAATCCTCCCAGAGAGCCAATAATGTCACTTATGGCGCCCAGAACCTGCCCCCCAAAACTCCACCCCCCCCCCGCCTAAGGCTCTGGGTGGAGGAGGAGGTCTGGGGTAGGGGATTGGGGTGCAAGCTCTGGGATGGAGTTTGGGTGCAAGCTTTGGGCTGGGACAGGGAGTGGGGTGCAGGAGGAGCAGGTAGGGGTACAGGCTCTGGGAGGGTGGAGGGGTGTAGGCTATGGAAGGGAGTTTGGAGGTGGGAGGGGGTGTGTGGGAAGGGGGAGGGAGTGCAGGTTCTGGGAGGGAGTTTGAGGTCTATGGGGCTATGTGGGGAGGGGATGAGGGTGCAGGCTCTGGGAGGGGGTCAGGGGGTGCAGTGCTTACCTGGGGCTCTGGGCTGGGACAGGGCGTGGGGGTGCAGGAGGAGCAGGTGGGGGTACAGGCTCTGGGAGGGAGGAGGGGTGTAGGCTATGGAAGGGAGTTTGGAGGTGGGAGGGGGGGGGTGTGGGAAAGGGGAGGGAGTGCAGGCTCTGGGAGGGAGTTTGAGGGCAATGGGGCTATGTGGGGAGGGGATGGGGGTTCAGGCTCTGGGAGGGGGTGCAGTGCTTACCTGGGGCTCCAAGGCGTGGTGGATTGGGGGGCCTCTGTGCACTGCTGCCCCGAGGCACTGCCCCCGCAGCTTCCCATTGGCCGCAGGGGTACTCGAGGCAGGGGCAGCGCATGGAGGCACAGCACAGCCCCACCCCGGGGCTGCAGGGAGGGGCTGGCAGACACAAGGAGTGAGCAGGCAGAAGCCACTCAGCTCTGCTGCACTGCCGGTGGTGGGAGGGGCACCTGGCCATTGTAAATCACCCGGCAGACCAGACGGGGGATGGGGTGGGGTGGGAGGGAAGAGCACCCAGGGGCAGCAGGCAGGACCAAGGGAGAGACCCGGTCCCAAAATTGCTGGAGCCTCGCAGGCCACTTTGGGGAGGTTCTTGGGCCGCAGATGACCTGCGGGCTGGGAGTTTGAGACCCCTGCTCTTGGTTATGTATGAAAAATATATCATGTATCCTCTCCCAAATTTATGGCATATACTCTGATTACAGAATTAATTTCTGATAATTAACAAGTTAAAATTGATCTTAAAATGGGTTTTTAATACATTTAGCACTTGTCAGTTTTTCCTTTGTCCCATCTGGTGTTGATAATGGAATAATAATTTGAAAGTTTGAAAAGTCTAACTGAAATCTTGTGCATGGCCTATGTTTAAGAAATTAGGTTGTAATTTAGCTAAATTATTAATGATTATTTTATCTGATTGTTGTGATTATATAAGACACAGACATGGTTAGTCAACAGCTCAGTTAACAATTTAGTCGGGCCACTATGATATGAGAGGTAACATAACCAATTGCCATCCTTCCTCTATAGCTAATTTGCATGCAACAATTCCATTGCTTGCAATCTGTTTATAGTATAAGGGAGACTGGACACATGTGTAGACGTCTCATTGGTAGATTATTGGGCACAACTACCACTGCTCTTTAGATATTCATATTTACACACACACACTCAGCCAAAAACTATGTTAAAGCATTATGGAAGATAAGTCAAGCATTCAAAAATTAGAAAATGCCAGAAATAAGGTTGTCTGTGCAACTTTAATTTGGCTAATCCCTGACTCCTCCTCATCTAAGGCCTCCCATTCCCCCTCCCCCACCCCACATACCCCGTTTCCCCTCCCAGTCGCAGTCCCAGCCTTCTTGCCAACCAGTTAGAGTGCCCATCGCTGGCTCCTAGACCCAGTCGAATTGCCCAGCCCAACTCGTTCCCAATATCCAACTCCACATTCCCTCCAAGGTCTGACTCTTGTCCCCACTTTGCATTCAAATCAGGTAGCTTCCTCCTCCAGGGGAGAGCAGTCATCGACAGCATAAGGGAAAGAGTCACCCAGTTCTCAGTTCAAGTACACAGACCTGGTATGGATAACAGAAGCCCTGAGTTGCAACTGCAGGGAAGTCCTGTTAAGCCCTGGTGCATGCCCATGTTCAGCCCTGCATATCACACACACGTAGATATATTGTATCCAGTAATTAGCTGCACAATATGAAATTTAATATAAATATCACATATTTCAGCGTAACAGTTGAGTGTCAAAGGAATTTTCTTCAGACCCAGTACAACATTAACATGGAAGAAGTTAGCTTTTCAAAATTTATATTTAAATTATATATTACCACCACCACTCAAGAGACTAATGAGTTTGTGTGTCCATTCCAAGACTCTTTAAAGAGTCCTTATTTTCAGAATATGGTTGCTCACAACTTTTGGAAAAATCAAGCCCCTTTAAAGGTGTCTCAAATTGGACACCTAGAAATAGAGGCTCCCAAAGATAGTAGTCACCTTTGAAAATATTGGCCCACAGACTGTTTCCTTTTTCACCCCCATAGACAAAACAAAATTTTCAGCTCAGCCCTCTTCTCTTCTGCCCCCCTTTGAATGTGTGTTTCATGTACTTACTTTGCTGCCAATCCTGAAACAGATAGGATGCGTGTTTGCAGTCAACTGCAGGACTGGGGTCTTGATTTGTCAACAGCATAGCATCATCCACTATAGTAAAGGGCAATATGCAAAGTCCTTACTGAAGTGGTTGTGATCTGCATAGATTTAACTGCTCACAGCTATCCTGCATAATCTCCATCATGTTCCCTTTATGGACAATTTTAAAAATAAATGAACTTGTTTGTACCTTGCACTGAAAATCTGAACCTTCATACTTCATGCAACCTGAAGCAAGCATGGGTTCTCCATGTTCATCTTCTTCAACAATGGCAAAGCAATGCCCGTTAGTTCTGGAAAAACACATCATTTCAATTCACCAATTGCTGTGCAAAATTAACTGGCAATCAACCTACTTATGAAAATTAGGTATGTGCACCCTACAATGTTTCTTGTCCTATTATAAACTAATCACCAGACAGTGTGGGTGAGACTAAAGGAAATGAGGTACAGAGTTGTTTTTTCTTGTCTGAACTAAAATCAGAGGGTACCAATATGAAGACACTGGTCAAGATACATATTTTTTCAATATAAACCTCAAGTTTAGAAGCTAGTAAAAGGCTCCTAACCTTCAACAGAGAAAATTAATCCATTATTTTCCAAGATGATGTGTTCTTTTTAAAAAAGGATCAGATTTTTCAGATTACCTACTAACCTGAAATCTTTAGCATTCTGAGATATAACTATTAAGATTTTCTTAGTATGTCTACCATAGAACAGTGACATGCTGGAGAGTATTTGAGAGCCCCTTATTGTAGGGAAAGATTGGGTTTACTCTTTTCTTGGCATAATGTTAAATTACTCTGCCAGAAATGACTTAGCCCGAAAGATGGAGAGGTTACTCACCATGTGCAGTAACTGAAGCTCTTTGAGATGTGTGTCCCAGAGGGGAAGTAAGGTGTGTGGTGGAGCACCACAGGGGGACACAGCTTGAAGAACTCTAGTTACTGCACAAGGTAAGTTTCAGAGGAACAGCCGTGTTAGTCTGTATTCGCAAAAAGAAAAGGAGTACTTGTGGCACCTTAGAGACTAACCAATTTATTTGAGCATGAGCTTTCGTGAGCTACAGCTCACTTCATCAGATGTATACCGTGGAAACTGCAGCAGACTTTATATACACACAGAGAATATGAAACAATACCTCCTCCCACCCCACTGTCCTGCTGGTAATAGCTTATCTAAAGTGATCAACAGGTGGGCCATTTCCAGCACAAAGCCAGGTTTTCTCACCCTCCACCCCCCCACACAAATTCACTCTCCTGCTGGTGCTAGCCCATCCAAAGTGACAACTCTTTACATAATCAAGTCGGGCTATTTCCTGCATAGATCCAGGTTTTCTCACATCCCCCCCACCCCCATACACACACAAAAAAAAGAAAACCTGGATCTATGCAGGAAATAGCCCGACTTGATTATGTAAAGAGTTGTCACTTTGGATGGGCTAGCACCAGCAGGAGAGTGAATTTGTGTGGGGGGGGTGGAGGGTGAGAAAACCTGGCTTTGTGCTGGAAATGGCCCACCTGTTGATCACTTTAGATAAGCTATTACCAGCAGGACAGTGGGGTGGGAGGAGGTATTGTTTCATATTCTCTGTGTGTATATAAAGTCTGCTGCAGTTTCCACGGTATACATCTGATGAAGTGAGCTGTAGCTCACGAAAGCTCATGCTCAAATAAATTGGTTAGTCTCTAAGGTGCCACAAGTACTCCTTTTCTTTTTGCACAAGGTAAGTAACCGCTTCTCCTTCTTCAAGTAGTGTTCCTGTGGGTTCTCCATTTCAGGTGACTCCTGAGCAGTTCCCCCCTTAGGAAGCAGAAGGTTCAGAGCAGAGTTCAATACAGAAGAGCCTACATCTGCCTCTGATCTTGCTGCACCAAGGGATAATGATTTGAAAAAGTATAAACAGAGGACAAAGCTTCCGATCTACAGAGGTCTACAACTGGCATATCCTTAACAAAGATGCAAACACTACTTTTGTGAATGGGCTATCACTCTCGAAGGGGGCTGAACATAAGATGTGTTGTAACAAATCTTAATAAAACTGAAAATCCACTTTGATAACCTCTGTTTAGAAATTACCAAACCCCTATTTCTGTCCACAATAGATACAAATAGTCTAGGAGATCTTCTAATTGGTTTCATCCTATCTAGGTAAATGCTAATGTCCTCTTGATATCTAGGGTATGGAATATGGTTTTTTGACTAGACCAATGTGGGGGTTTTTTTGGGGTGGGGTGGGGAGGGGGGAAGAGAAGCAGGAGATTAATGATTTGATTAATATAAAATTCTGAGGACACCTTAGGTAAAAAACTTTGATGGGCCAGTAGCGACACTCTTTCTATTGTGAATACTGTAAAAAGCGGGTCAGCCATTAAAGCCCCCAATTCTCCAACCCTTTGGGTAGAAACTGAGGTTACTTACCTGGCACTGGAGGTTCTTAGAGATGTACGGTCCGTATCTGTATTCCACACATACAATATGCATGCACATCATGGCCTTGAGTCCATAATTTTTTACCAGCAGTGTCCATTGGCCTGTATATGCACTGTAGCTCTCCTCGTGCTGTGAAACAAGGGCATAAAAGGTGGTGCGGGCCAATGCCTCTCTAGTTGCTCATTCCTACTACAGTCCAAACAATCTGCAGCAGAGGGGAAGGAGGGCAGGTATTAGAATACAGATGGAGACCACACATCTCAAAGAACCTTCAGTTACAGGTAAGTAACCTCCATTTCTTCTTCGACTGATGGTCCCTATGTGTATTCCACACATGGGAGAATAACAAGCGCTAGTCAGACAAGAGGTGGGTGCGAGGATGCAGAAGCGACAGCTGACTGTAGTACTGTTGCCCTCACAGCTGCATCCACAGTGAACGACTTGACCAGAGAGTAATGACTCATGAAGGTATGTAAAGAGCTCCAAGTAACTGCCGTACATATCTCTAGGAAGGGTACGTCTCTCAGAGATGCAGCCAAAGTAGTTTGCCCTTTGGTAGAATGAACTCTTTCCACCCATCAGAGGGAAAACACGAGCTAGTTGGTAACAAAGGGTTATACAACCTGAAATTCATTTTGAAAGTCTCTGTGCAGATTCCCTTGATCATTCTGCTAAGAAAATAAATAGTTTAGGTGTCCTTCTGATGTCTTTTGTTCTTATCAGATAAAAGGACAAAGTCCTTCAGATGTCTAAACCACAGCTGTCTCTCTCCATCCTTGGCATGCAGTTTTGAAAAAAAATACAGATAAGTGGAGTACGTGACTCATAAGGAACTGAAACTATTTTAGGGATGAACCTGGAGTGGGGCGTAACAAGACCTTTTCTTTACAGAAGGTAGTATATGACAGATCCACCGTGACTACTCCCAGTTCACTGACTCTTCTGGCTGACATTATAGCTATTAGAAAGGCCACTTTCATGGAGAGATGAACTACCAAAAATGTGGCTAGTGGCTCAGGATGGGAGGTAGGGTCAATGAGAGAGACTAGAACAAAACTAAGCTCCCACTGAGATGCAAACTTCACCACTGGTGTAAATGGCTGAGAATCCCCTTCAGAAATTTGAGCTGTGACAGGATGAGTGAAGATTGAGTGGTTATCCACAGAGGATGGAAAGTGCTGATCATTGCTAATGGCACTCACAGAGAACTGATCATTGGACCCAAAGACTTAAAGGTAAGTAAACACTCTAAGACAACAAGGATCCAGGTGGATTCTGGAGACAAGTTCCATTGATGCGCTCATGAGGAAAAATGCTTCCATTTTGCTGAGTAACAGCTCCTTGTAGAGTCTCTTCTGGTTTGGTTAAGGATGCATTACACCCTTTTGGAACATGAGAGCTCTATTTCTGATGCCCATCCAAATACCAGGCTCTGAGCTGCAACGGGTCCCAGATTCAGGTGCTTGAACCTGCCCCTATGCTGTGTTAGAAGGTCCGGCAATGTGGTTGAACTGAGTTCATAAACCAGAACCATCTCAGCCAGTTAGGCACAACAAGGATGACTAAGCTCTGTCTTGATGCATCTTCCACAGAACTTTTAGTATCCATGTAGTGGGAAGGAAGACATACTCCAGACAACGCTTCCATGTTGCCAACAGGGCATCTCCCATCAAGCCCTTGCCCAGGACGGCTCTGGAGCTTCCTGTTCACCCATGAGGCAAAAAGGTCCCAGGCCGGCATTCCCCATTGGGGAAATATGTCGTTGAGAACTGAATTATCAATCTCCCAGTTCATGATTCACAGAAAAACGTCTGCTCAGGCAGTCCATTAGGAAATTTTGCATCCCTGGTAAATATGCTGCTGATAGGATTGTGTGATGGCTGATGTACCAATTCCCGAGGGTGACTGCCTCTACGCACAGAGGGAGAGATCTCGCTCCCCCCACTTGTTTATGTTGCCCTTCTTTGGTTAGTACATGGACAGAAATCAGGCTTGTTGGCGGCGAAGATGAAGCCTGGTGAATCGCATCCTGTATATGAATGAGGCCATGTGGCTGAGGGAAAGACAAGCTCTGACTGACATCCTGGGTCTGATAGTGACCTAACGTATGACATCGCTCACAGACCGAACCCTCACCAAGGTAGATATGCTCTTGCGGTCAAGTCCAATGATAACCCTATAAAATGTATATACCTCATGGGAGTCAATGTGGATTTTTCATGATTGACGCAGACAACAAGGGAAGGCAGAAGGCTGAGCAGAACACTGGGTACCTGCTGAATGTCCTCATAGGAACTGCTCATCAGAAGTCAGTCTTCAAGGTACGGGATGAGAAGAGAGGAATTTACAGGCTTCCAAGCTGCCACTACAGAAAATAAAACGTAAAGACCACAGGGGAGGACTCTGAATTGGTAATGGTCCTGACTGAAGAGGAACCTGAGCAATCTCCTGTGGGAGGATGTCTATGTAAAAATATGATTCATTCATGTTGAGAGCTGCAAACTCCGTACCCTCCAGGAACAAGGGAATTATTGATGCCAAGGATATCATGTTGAATTCTGGTTTTCAAATGTACTTGTTAAGCTATCGCAGATTGAGAATTGGCCTCCATCCCCCATTCTTCTTGGGGATCAAGAAGGAAGGGGGATAGAATCCCTTTCCTTGATGTTGAGGTGGAACCATTTCCCTGACTCCCATGAGGACAAGGGAGTTCACCTCTTGTCACAAAAGCCTTGTCTTCACTAATGCTGTAAACTGATCTAAGTTACCCTAGTTATTTAAATTATGTAATTTAAGACCATGTAACTTACATCAACTTAAAGCGTGTAAATGTCGACGGGAAGACACTCTCCTGTCAACA